CTTTTCAATAATAATAATAATATTAATAATGCATTTTATATATGTTTTTAATATTTCTTTTTTTCAAGTACAAATTTACTTGAAGCAAAGCAAAGGGGAAAAAAACCATTTTTATTTACTTAATGAGAGTTCTCCTAATGATTTTCTTAACTAGTCATTTACTGTATATGTATTTTTCTACTAAAAGTTCTTAAAATAAGAGAAACCTACTTGAGAGGCAAACTGGAAAAGGAAAAAAAAACTATTTAGATTTTCTTAATTATTAATTTTTTTGTAACTTTTATTTATTTATTAATTTTTGATGATTTTTTAAAATATTTTTTCTACTAAAAATATACGAAATCTACTTTACAAGAAAAAGCCATTTAAATTTTCATTATGAATTTTGATTTTTCTAATGATTTTCTTAATGAGCTATTTTTTTTAATTATTTTTCTATTAAAAAAAAATGTTAAAATAAGAGAAATCTACTTGGAAAAGCAAAACTGTAACAAGGAAAAAACTATGTAGATTTTCTTAATGAGTTTTGATTTTCCTAATCCGAGTCATTTTTATATTTATTCCACTAACAATTCTTAAAATAAGAAAAATCTACTTGAGAAGCAAACTGGAAAATGAGACTATCAATAGATATCAATACTAATACTGTGATAATTTGCATAATTTAATCTAACGCACACTATAAAAATAACAATATCTTTTCCCTTTGTTCCCGTAGGTGTGGTTCCAAAACCGCCGGGCTAAAATGCGCAGGCAGATGAAGCTCCAGAGTCAGGCAGGAGAGCAGTGCGGCCGGCGTGACAGTGACGACAGACAGGTAGATTCGTCCAGCAGGAGCACAGCTACAGAGCTCCACAGCAGCAGCAGCCCAGACTGGGACAGGAAACAGGAGAGAGGAAGCCCCACTTGTTCCAAACCCTCCTCATCAGCTATCCACAGCCCCGTGAGCGACATGCTTCAGGTGCCTAGAGATCAGGAGGGGTCAGAGGACTTCTGCTGCTGTAGCATTGCCAAACTGAGGGCTAAGGCCAGGGACTATGAGGCAGAGATCCACAGCACTGTAGCCAAGGCCAGCAGAGAGAGGCAGATGAAGACACAGGTATCTGCCGCAGGCCTGGAAAGAGACTGAAACAGATGCAGCCATTAAACATTACCTCAGTATCACACAGGGCACATTAAAAATCCCATTCAATTCATTATTTATTATTATGCACAATTACACACGCAATGAGGTTAAACAATGTGACTGAGAACAGCAAATTTCTTCACTCTGTATTGTTTTTGCTTCTTAGATTGTCACAATATCATGTATTATCTGTGAAACCAATGGATGCTTTTCAAATTTCCAGGGTTCTCAGAAGCAGAAGTCGTCATAGTTGGGTAAACTTCCATAGCGGTGAATAGAAACTACAACAAACGTATTTTTTGTGCTCCCGTTTACCCCAATAGCAAAAGAAAAATTTGTGATAGTGTTTTAGTGTAGGAAAAACTATCAAGAGATTGATTACAGAAGAGAGAAAGATGTCAAAATTGCCATCACTCTCTCAGCAGTGGTGTTAACTATTTTTATGTAATTTAATGCCAGTGTAATATAGTAAAAAGTACAGTGTTATAATTGTACAATAGATTAAAAAAAAAATGAAAATATAAAAACGCTATATTTACAATATTAATATCTGTGGAAACACATCGTCATAGTCTGTGAAAAGGGTCCATAGTAACTTTTTTTTTTTTTTGCAAATGTGCAAAATTTGCATGTCCATACAAATTTTGTTTTACTTTTTTTTTAAAACAAATGTGAAGTTATATGTATCTACTTTTAGAATTATTCTTTTTTTTTTCATATTAGTAGTATTTTGAATGTTCTTTAATTATGATTGGCAGCAATTTATAAACAGCCTTTAAAACAAAATGTAAAAAAATGTTTTGAGGTTGCTTGCTTCACTTTATGCCGACAATGGACATTTACAAAGGTAACAGTGTGTTCTCAAATGTTGTTGGACTGACAGCTAGTGAACAAGAGGAGCTAACAGAGGAAGCTCATGGTGATCTCATCAATGGCCAACTCCTCTATCAGCTATCCTGTTACCCTGCGTGAAAACACAGGATGTCTGCAAGCTGCCACAAGCCCTCCATAAACACAATAGGGACGGCTGAAAACTGCCTGCCTTTTCTGACAAATGTGCTTTTTAAAGACTGCAACACACTTGTATTTTCCTCCACAATAGATGTTAATTGTGCTGAACATTTGTTCATATACTGTAATTATTGCATACTTTTTTTTAATCAATTTTTATTTCATGTTTCATGCTTAATATTTGCATGTTTTTTTTTTTTAAGAAAAATATGCTACTTAAAGGGATAATTCAACCAAAAAAATGACAATTCTGCCATCATTTACTCACCCTCAAGTTGTTACAAACCTGTATGATTTACTATCTGTGGAACACATTAGAAGATCTTTTAAAGAATGTTGATAAACAAACGGTTTTGGGTCCCATTTACTTTATGGACAAAGATGGGACCTGAAACTGTTTGGTAAATGATGACCGAATTTATATTTTTGTGTGGACTATCCGTTTAAATACACTTAAAAGGGTCATATGATGCGATTTCAAGTTTTCCTTTCTCTTTGGAGTGTTACAAGCTGATTGTGCATAGATAAGATCCCTGAAGTTGCAAAGACTAAAGTCTCAAAACCAAAGAGATATTCTTTATCAAAGTTAAGACTCTGCCACGCCCCCCTAAAACGGCTCGTTCTAACACGCCCCCACATATCTACCTCAATATGCGGAAATATTTGAGTAATGCCGCCCAAATGTGCACGCAAAGAAAGAAGGCGTGGTTTCAGTAACCGCAGTTAACTACGCCTTTGTCTATTTGTTTATTTTGAATACGCGCCCTCTAGCGGAGAAAATTACATATTGTGCCTTTAAGATAAATCTTGGAAAGTTTGTTCAGAGCTGCAACCCTTGAGAACTTCAGAAATGCAGGACGCTGCTGGTGTATTTGAAAAAAATGGACAGAGCACCTGCTACATGTCAAATGAATATAAAGGTCCTCAGTTAGGGAATTTCCTATGGGATCAGCAGAATCATAAAGTCAGATTCATTCAATGTTTGTGCAACCAAAGCCCTTGTTGAAGAGCCAGAAATTGCATTAGTCTTTAGGTCTTTAGAGCCAGTGTGGAGTAAGAGTGCACTCCTCTGGGCAACAGGGTCCTCTTGAGTTTAAAGGCGTCTTGTTTTGAGATTAAGCAGGTCTGTTTGATCAGAACAGTCATTACTCTCTTACACCAACGGTATTGAAGTCTATGGGAATATTGTGCATGTGAAATCTGGAGGATTTAATGTGTAACGAGTAGCTCAGATTGTAACCGCTTCATCATACTCAGGCTTTGTCTTTCTGAAGTCCGGTGTAAAGCTATAAATCAGGGGTGTCCAAACTCGGTCCTGGAGGGCCGGTGTCCTGCAGAGTTTAGCTAGGCAAGCTGGAGCTAAACTCTGCAGGACACCGGCCCTCCAGGACCGAGTTTGGACAGCCCTGCTATAAATAATCCCATTGATTCTGCACCCATCCACAACTTGAGATGCTCACCGTGGGTTACCCAAGTCAAACTTAAAACCATCAAAGGAGGTGGATCATCTGAAATTACACTGAAAGCAATCTCTCTCTGCCTTAGGACAGTTGAACGGTGATGGTTTTTCTGTCTACACTACGATTATACACTGGTAGTCTTACAATGTTAATTGTAGGTATTATGTTTATTAAGGAAGGGTTAGGCTATTTAAAGCAATACGTGTCTGTATTATTATTGTTAAAGTAAAGCAGGAGGAATGTTAAAGGTTTATTTCCCAGGGTTTATATTCGCCTGTGCAAATGAGATGGACAGTCTGACCTTGTTAAGAGGCCATTGTAAACATTCATATTCATGCAGCAATAATTTGAACTGATTTATGCTGATGGTTGTAAGCATCATCTGCAGCTCCCTGTGGTTTCTTCATAAACATATTCCATGTTTAAACCACCTGTGTCATAAAAATATGGGTCATTCTTGTTATGAAGTACCTCATGAGCAATGAACAAATGAATGTGTTTCGTTAAGGAAGTATTTTTATAAAGCATACACCAGACTTTCAGATATATAGTCTGGTCGTCGAGTTGAGGCACTGAAACTGTATTACTTATAGAACCTAACAGGACAGAATAAAGAGTTGAATCATTGTTCAGTGAGGGATAGCAAGTTTGCTTGCAGTACATGGTGTCAACCTGAAATGTATTTAAATACTTTTTAACCTTTTGATTTTTTTTTTTTGATAATATATTAATTTCTAAATAATATCTAAATGGATGGAATGTTTGAGACAAACTAATAACGTAAACATTTGGAAAATATCTATCTATCTATCTATCTATCTATCTATCTATCATCAAATATAAATACCAAAATATATAAATGCAAATTCTAACAAATTAGATTAAAATGCAGATCAATATGTACTGCAAGTAATTCAGAGAGTTTAAATGCATTTCTTTTTCCCCCCAGCTGCTTTAAGGATTGAAATATTTTTTTAAAGCCACAAAACTTGGAGCAACCTTCTACATTTGTGCATAAAACCTACATAAAAATGCAAACTCTTTTTCACACACACACACACACATATCTCTCTGTGTGTGTGTGTGTGTGTAGTTTATGTTAAAAGTTAGTGAAATTATTCTACCACGTTAACCTAATTCTGGTTTTATGACAAAATAACAATTTCTATCGTTACAAATCTTTAAGACAAGTTGCATAAAATGCACTGCATAACAATTGCTAAGGTAGGCCTTAATTTCGTCACATTCCACAAGTCTTTTTTAAGGACATGCTTGCCATATTACACAGATATAATAACGAGCGAAACAGACTCCATGAAAATAACAAATAAAGCAATTAGCGTTTAATCATTGATGATTTGAGGCTCCTCCCCCTTCATTTCCTCTGTTCCACAGGTGCCGTGCTGAAGTGAAGAGCTCTGAGACGCTTTTTACGCTCTTTCTTTGGGATTTCCCTCAGTGTCTCCACAGTCTTTTATTTCCAAGCTCCGTTGTTTCGTCGAACAAACGACGTTTTTCTCTCTCTGTCATTTAATAGACTCTATCTGCCGTGCGTTTTGGCGAGGATGGCGGCGATCAAGGCGCTTCAGCAGTGGTGTAAGGTTCAGTGCGAGGGATACAGAGATGTGACCATCAGCAACATGAGCACATCTTTCAGAGACGGACTGGCCTTCTGCGCTCTCATCCACAAGTTCAGACCGGACCTCATGTGAGAGTCGTTTATTTATACATTTTCACTGATTAGAATACAGATGCTGTTCACAACTTTTTGAGATGAGAGTAAAGTATCAAACGTTGTCTTTATGAGGAAAAAATTATGTAGTCCAAAGATATTAAAGTTTTAAATGTGAAACATTTATATGTTTTTGCTATATAACATAATATACCCAGACATGTATGTTTATTTATTTATTTATTATTATTATTTTTTTTTTTTTTAATTGTGACCAGACATAAATCCATGTATTTGGATGCTTGTAGAATTTGTCCAATGACTCCTGTAGTAGTGAACTTATTGAAACCAGTTGTAAAATGGCAATGAAAAGTTATGGGCTTTTTTTTTTTGTTACGGATGAAGTGAGTAAAATTACACGTGAATGTTAGTTTTTAAATGTAGCTGAACTGTTACTAAAGCCACTGTAAGTCCATTATACTGCAATAGAATTATGACAGCAGGTTGACATCATGCAATATGACATGCTCTACTTCCATCTAAAAATGTTCAATTGATTTTATGTATACAACTTTTTTGACTTTATAGAGACTACATGGACTATTTGTATGCCACATTACAGGACTATTATAAATGAACTAGTGAAGGAGGAAAAAAAGTTATTGTGAAAATAGTGACTAATCATAGGACCTAAGATTTACACATTCATTTATCAATTCAAATCACATGATATACATTTGCATTTTTATCCCGAAATCTTATCTATGGGTGTGTTATGGCCCATATACACTCACTATTTATTCACTCTCAGCCTCATTTTTTTTTTTCTTTAGACCTGCTGGTTATGTTCAATTTAATATTGTAGAATTTGTGACCTTTAAAAGCTATCACATAATGTTTAATTTGATGCAGATACACCTTTTTATTAAACTTTTTTTTCAGCTTAATTTACCATTAAGATTGTATTGTAACACTTCAAGGTTTCTGTCTGTCTGGTGACTCATGTCCTTGTTTTCTTTCAGAAACTTTGAGTCTCTCTCCAAAGACGATGTGTATTACAACAACCACTTGGTAAGTTATTCTGTTTGGACTTGATCATAGGAAGCTATGACAGACCTGATGCAGAGTGACCCATAATGCGTGTTTTGCAGGCAGTTTTAGCTGTATCCTGTACAGATGTGTGTTTGGTACAGTCCTGTGATAATGCACACACTATTGAATTTTTTTTGACAAGTTGGCTGGATGTTTGTTTGTAACCCAGCCTTATGTACTGATATTTTTGTTTCTCACTTATTGATATGAATAAGAGTGTTTAAAGGGATAGTTCACCCAAAAAAGAAAATTCTGTCATTAATTACTCACCCTCCTGTCGTTCCAAACCCGTAAGACCTTCGTTCATCTTCTGAACACAAATTAAGATATTTGATATGAAATCCAAGAGCTTTCTGACCTTGCATTGACAGCATGGGAACTACCACGTTCAAAGCCCAGAAACGTAGCAAGGACATTGTTAAAATGGTCCATGTGACATCAGTGGTTCAATTGTAATTGTATTTTTTGGGTGAACTATCTATTTAATACCCTTTTCTCACAGCTTGTGAAATGCATGTGATCCCTTTTATGCAGAGTTCTTAAATGAATGAGACTTGTTGCTCAGTAAAAGGGCCTATTTATGGGTCGAGTCTTCCAGCCATAGCTTTTGGCACAATAAAGATATCCTTTAGTTTCTACAAGCATTGTCTTGCAGTGAAACGTCTTAAGTTTCAGACTTGTACTCTGTGAACTTGGGTAGAGGGAAGAATATTATCCTAAACCAACCAATTTTATTTATCAGGGATTAGTTTATTTATTAGATTTTTTTTCAGTGAGTGATTACTACATGCTCTAGATCGATTCAAAGATGTATTTATTCGTTTTAAAGGTTCCACACTTATGCTTTGATCATTTGGTCACAGGCAATCTTCATTTTTTTTTTCCTACAGTGGTAATTTCAGATTAAAGAGCGAATATATGGTGCATTGGCATGTATAAATGTTAGATTTTTTTTATTGAATTGTTAGTTTTCTTTATTTATTTTTTAATAAAGTTTTACTCTGTAACTGAATCAACATTCTTTCAGTCTGATAGTGTAAGCTTTACATGAAAGATTTAATTTGTGTTTGAGGGTAGGGATGTTGTCCGACCAGGACTTGTGACCCATAATTATTTTTCATCCCTGTCAGGAAGTGCTTCCATGAGAATGAGGTGGTAAGACGTACCACAACTGGGACTTTTTTTCCAAAATGATGAGCTTTTCCTCACATTGCTTCCTCGGAGACTGTAGATTGTAAGCCACACACTCCGAGATCTATTACAAACCCTCACCACTTCTATTGGCGGCACTCAGCTGTGGCACTTGAACCCGATCTGTGTGGATTCTGTCCAGTTAATGCATTATGAAGAAGGGTGACAGTCATCTACAGGGCACCTGATCCTCTCTGTCAAGATTAACTTACCTCTGTTCTACTACTGTCTTTACAATGTTAGTACATCTGTGCTTTTGAACACCAAAGAACACTGCATTTAAATGCCAGTGCTTCCACAAGTGTGTTCTGTTTAAACCCAGCCAATATTTACCTGAAATGCTTATTTCATACTATCAGCCCCTAAGTGCTGTAACACAAAAGAGAAACAGGAAGTTGCAGCTGCTGCATCGTGGAGGATATGCCGCCCCTCCTCAGCTGTCCTGTAAAATGTAATGAGCGTGTTTAGGTCAGGCCTAAACAATGCCCTGGTATACCCCTGTCCTGTCCCTGTTCCCAGGCTGCTGCTTGCACAGGAAATGTGCTATTCATTATGCACTCCCTGCCCGGGCCGTCTTGATGTGTTGCCAGATTGTGATGCTCACTGGCCTATTCTATTTCTGACATCTTCCTTTTTGTGCCTTGTCTGTGTTTACAGTTAATTGGCCAAGTGCCTTTCCCCTAGAAAACCGTTTCCACAGCATGATATCAGCTAAAACAATTGTATGAGGTCCTGTTGAATGAGCATGTTCAGTGGTTGTTATAAACACAGAGTGCTTGTCTTTTGTCGTTGTTGGCATCTAATTGTTGTTTTCTTCTGTAGGGATTCATCCTCCTATTATGTGGTGTTGTAGCTGTGAACTTGATGGCTGATTTGTGTCATGTGATGTCCTGCAGGCGTTCCTTGTGGCTGAAGATCATCTGGGAATCCCAGCTCTTCTGGATGCAGAGGACATGGTGGCTTTGCCTGTCCCAGACAGACTCAGCATCCTCACATATGTCTCACAATACCATAATTACTTCCGCGGCCGCTCGCCAAGTAAGACTCCGTTTATCCACCATCAGAGTGTTTGTGAAGTAAAAGCCACCTTTTTTTGCAGGGACATTGTCTTATTTGAATTAGGGCTGGGTAAAAAATATCTCTCTATTAATCGAGTCTCATTTTTACGGAACGATATCGATTCTTAAATCCCATATCGCAATAAGCATTGTGCTTTGGTACTTTTAATATGAAACAAAGTCTCAGATTTCAAATTCTGTCCATTGTATTGCAGTATTCAAACAATAAATGCCATTTTGGCGCTGTTTAATGTGGAGTGACAGATCGCTGTAGCGCCTCAGTTCAACAGCGTGTAGCACACGTGAACTAATCATCTCCTCCACATTAATTCCAGTTTCAGTACAAAATAAACATGACTAAACATCCGAAGGTAAGTTAAAAGAAAGAGTACAACTTTACAATCCGTATCCTGTCTCATGTAATTGCTCAATCAGTGTTTCAGCCACGCAAAGACGTCAATATAACGGCTTGTAAACAATAATAATAATGTCACGTAACATCACATTTACCTCAGAAAAACAGATTCGGTGACCATAAACTCATTAGTCAGATAGAAAAA